GTTTATAGTACGAAGCTGGTGATTGGTTGCTAGGACGTCACATCCAGTCCAGTCCGGATGTGAACAATTTATTTTTTGATCTTTTGTTTTTCACCACTTGCCTATCGGGCACTTTTACCCCCTTCATGCCCAGGCCAAATTTTCAGCTTTCAGTGCTGTCCACACTTTGACAATTGATCAGTCATGCAACATTGTACCCATATGAAATTATCATTTTTTTCACACAAATAGAGCTCTGTAGATGGTTGTGCGTGAAAATCCCAGATCAGTTTTTTTCAAAACACTCAGACCAGCCTGTCTGGCACCAACACCCATACTATATTCAAAGTCACTGAAATCCCCTTTCTTCCCCATTCTGATGGGTTCAATTGCTTTTGGTAACACAAATTGCTAATCAGCCAATCACATGACAGCAACTCCATGCATTTAGGCATCTAGATGTGGTGAAGATGACTTGCTGATGTTCAAACCAAGCATCAGCATGGGGAAGAAAGGGGATTTAAGTGACTTTGAATGTGGTATGGTTGTTAGTGCCAGACGGGCTGGTCTGAGTGTGCGTGCGAGAAACTCCAAGTAGGTCAGCAGTTGCTGTCTTCACATCTAGATGCCTAAATGCATTGAGTTGCTATCACGTGATTGGCTGATTAGCAATTTGTGTTACCAAGCAATTAAACCCATCAGAATGGGGAAGAAAGGAGATTTTAGCGACTTTGAATGTGGCATGGTTTGTTGGTACCAGACGGGCTGGGCTGAGTATTTAAAAAAAACTGCTGATCTGCTGGGATTTTCACACACAACCATCTCTAAGAAATAGAGCAGCGTTACCATGGACGGTGGAATCAACAGGGTGGCAATGTAGCCACCCAACTGCTTCCACCTGACTGGCAGGAGTCCGCCTGTAAGCTTTACACACAATCCTGGTGGCTGCAGTAAAAGGGTTAAAGGCTAAAAACAAAGCTGCAAAATCTTCCTGAAAGCTTCCTGCAAAATCTTACACACACTTCTCCTACACAAGCTAAAGCCCGTGTGAACAGGACCTTTCATCAAGGCCTCATGTACAAGGTCATGGTGTGGTGAATACACTGCTCAAAAAAAATGAAAGCAACACTTTGTAATCAGAGTCTATCATCGTCAGTGACACACCTGGGATATGGATCTGGTCAGGTAAGTCGCAGAGGGGGGTGGTAATCAGTTTCAGCTGCTTTGGGGTTAATGAAATTAACAACAGGTGTACTAGATGGGCAACAATGAGATGACCCCCAAAACAGGAATGGTTTTACAGGTGAAGGCCACTGACATTTTCTTCCCTTGCTCATCTTTTCTGTTTTTCACTAGTTTTGCATTTGGCTAGGGTCAGTATCACTACTGGTAGCATGAGGCCATACCTGGACCCTACAGAGGTTGTACAGGCAGTCCAGCTCCTCCAGGAGGGCACATCAATACCTGCCATTGCCAGAAGGTTTGCTGTGTCTCCCAGCACAGTCTCAGGAGCATGGAGGAGATTCCAGGAGACAAGAGCATGGAGGAGATTCCAGGAGACAGGCAGTTTCTCTAGGAGAACTGGACAGGGCCGTAGAAGGTCCTTAACCCATCAACAGGACCGGTATCTGCTCCTTTGTGCAAGGAGGAACAGGATGAGCCCTGCCAGAGCCCTACAAAATGACCTCCAGCAGGCCACTGGTGTGAATGTCTCTGACCAAACAATCAGAAACAGACTTCATGAGGGTGGCCTGAGGGCCAGACATCCTCTAGTGGGCCCTGTGCTCACTGCCCGGCACCATAGAGCTGGATTGGTATTTACCATTGAACACCAGAATTGGCAGGTCCACCACTTGCACCCTGTGCTTTTCACAGATGAGAGCAGGTTCACCCTGAGCACATGTGACAGACGTGAAAGGGTCTGGAGAAGCCGTGGAGAACGTTCTGCTGCCTGTAACATGGTTCAGCATGACCGTTGTGGTGGTGGGTCAGTGATGGTCTGGGGAGGCATCTCCATGGAGGGACGCACAGACCTCTACAGGCTAGACAATGGCACCCTGACCGCCATTAGGTATCAGGATGAAATTCTTGGATCCATTGTCAGACCCTACGCTGGTGCCGTGGTCCTTGGTTCCTCCTGGTGCAGTGGGTCCTGGGTTCCTCCTGGTGAAATGGTCCTTGGTTCCTCCTGGTGCAGTGGGTCCTGGGTTCCTCCTGGTGAAATGGTCCTGGGTTCCTCCTGGTGCAGTGGGTCCTGGGTTCCTCCTGGTGCACGACAATGCCTGGCCTCATGTGGGGAGAGTATGCAGGCAGTTCCTGGAGGATGAAGGAATTGATACCATTGAATGGCCCCCACACTCCCCTGACCTAAATCCAATAGAACTCCTCTGGGATATCATGTTTCGGTCCATCCGAAGCCACCAGGTTGCACCTCAGACTGTCCAGGAGCTCAGTGATGTCCTGGTCCAGAACAGGGAGGAAATCCCCCAGGACACCATCCGTGGTCTCATTAGGAGCCTCCCCCGACCTTGTCAGGCATGCATACAAGCACGTGGGGGCCATACAAACTATTGAGGACCATTCTGAGTTGCTGCAATGGAATTTCACCAAAATGGACTCGCCTGCTGCATCATTTCTTCACTTTGATTTTCAGGGGTGTCTTTGAATTCAGTCCTCTGTAGGTCGATCATTTCCATCCAACAATGGGGCGTCCTTACGTTCCTCACCCATCCCCCGTCCATGTCAGTATAGAGATCCAGCAGGAGATTCTTCCCCATTGAGATCTGATGGGTTTTCAAAGTGATCCTTTCATTTTGTGAGCTGTGTATAAATAAAAAGGTACAACTGAAGGACAGGCAGAAAAAAAAAAGCCAGGGCTGTCCGCAATCTGTGTCCTGAGGCAGACCTCTGTTCCTAACTGCAGGTAACCCCCCGGGTTGTGCGGATTCGTCTTACAGCTGCAGACGGTCCCGCACCTTTTCAGCCTGTCATTTGGTTGTACAGCCAGTGCAGATCAAACACTTGGAATCCTTGCCAGAGATCGCTTGCTGCATCATGGCCCTTCAGGTCACATTAAAGGGACCCTAAATTCATCCCACCTCTCCTGTGTAGCATTGTCTTGCTGTGCAACATTAACCACTTCCCGTCCGGCCCATGTATATAAACGGCCGGACAGTGGCAGCACAGGGGCGGGTTGCCATTCATAAACAGCTCCTGCCATTTTGGCCTGTGCGCACTCTGTGGGAGCGTGTGGCACTGCGATCCGGTGCCCGGTGTGTACGGATTGGCCAATCTGTGATTACATAAATAGGAGTCACTTCTGACATCATTGCTTACTACGTGTGAAATCTGTGAATGATCACAGATGTCAGATGGTACAGGACCATGCACTACAGCCTTGTACCATGTGACAAACTGACCAATCACAGCTCACACAGTATTTCTCAATGGCTGCAAGAATGCAGCCAGAGAGGAGAAATGATTGCTTTTACAGCCTTTATGGGTGTAAAAGCAATCAGTATAAAAAATAAACATCACTATGGTGACACTGTACTGCTAGGGTGACAGTATGTTTAAAAAAAATAAAAAATATTTAAAAAATAAAATTTAAATTTTTTTTTGAAAAAAATGATAATTTTTGGTTATAAACTAATTTGGGTTTTTTTTTGTTACTAAAAAGAGAACTGCATACATTTTGGCCAAGATTAGATTATTTGCAAAACTTTAGAAGAAAAACACTTTAAAACAAAAAAAAAAACAAATTGGACTTTCATTTTATATAGCAAAAAAAATAAAAATCCCAGTGGTGAATAAATACCACCAAAATAAAGATTTATCGGTCTCAAAAAAACTAAAAAAATTCATATGAATGAATGATCACAGAGGTCACATGGTACAGGGCTATTCACAACAGCCTTGTACCATGTGACAAGCTGTGACCAATCACAGCTCCCAGTATTTTTCAATGGCAGCAAGAATGCAGCCAGAGAGAAGGAGAAATGATTGCTTTTACAGCCTTTATGGGTGTAAAAGCAATCAGTGTAAAAAAAAAAAAAAAAAAAAAAAAAAAAAAAAAAAAAAAAATCACCACAACCCATAAGTAGTACAGCGTCACTATGGTGACACTGTACTGCTAGGGTGACAGTATGTAAAAAAATTTTCAAAATGATAAAATTTTTGGTTATAAACCAATTTGGGTTATTTTTTTATTTACTAAAAAGATAACTGAATACATTTTGGCCAAGATTTATTTGCAAAATTGTATAAGAAAAACACTTTTTTCCCCAAAATGTTTAGCTTGCTAGGGTGACGGGTATATTAAAAAAAAATATAAAAAAATATAAAATTATAATAAAAATTATAATTTTTGGTTATAAACTAATTTGGGATTTTTTTTACTAAAGATAATGGAATAAATTTTGGCCAAGATTTATGATGAAATATTTGCAAAATGTTATAAGAAAAACCCTTTTTTTTTCAAAATGTTTGGCTTGTTAGGGTGACGGTATGTTAAAAAAAATATAAAAAAAAAAAAGATAAAAATTATAATTTTTTGGTTATAAACTAATTTGGGTTATTTGTTTTTACTAAAAAAAATAATGGAATACATTTTGGCCAAGATTTATGATTAAATATTTGCAAAATTTTATAAAGAAAAACACTTTTTTTTGCTATATAAATGAAAAAGTCCAAAAATTTTGAAAATAAAAAAAAATCCCAGCGGTGAATAAATACCACCAAAATAAAGTTTTATCGGTCTCAAAAAAAAAGAAAATGCTTAAAAATTCATATGGGTACAGTGCTGCATGACCGCGCGCAATTGTCAACGTGTGATAGCGCTGAAAATTAGGCAGGAAGGGGGTGAAAGTGTCCGGACTTGAAGTGGTTAATAAATGCCCCTCCCCCCGCGTTTCATCAATCACGGGATAATAAATACACCACAATGATTGGGCGGCTACAGAGTAAAGTCAGAATTTAATGTTTTCTTTGTACAGGAGGTCAGAGGAGCTGACGCTCTACGCTCACACTGCACAGCAGAGATCTTCATATCTAGTGTGATGGATTATTAAAATATTGAACACCGGATCTTTAAAAGCGTGAAGACAGGAACACGGATAACGGCGGTAGACAGAATCCCTCCTGGAAGTGTAAACGTCTACCCAACTATTACAAGGTCTTCGGTTGCAAACTCGTACTCGGGAACTTCCAGGTTCAGCGGCGCCGGGCCCTTCCTGATCCGCCCGGAGGCATCGTAATGGGAGCCGTGACACGGGCAGTAATAGCCGCCGAAATCTCCGGCGTTGGCTATGGGGACGCAGCCCAGGTGAGTGCAGACTCCGATGAGGATGGCCCACTCGGGTTTCTTCACCCTGTCCAGGTCGTGTTGGGGGTCCCTCAGATCGCTGAGCTGCACGGCGGCCTCCTGCTCGATCTCCTTGGCCGTCCTGTGACGAGATGAACAGCGGCTTTCCCCGCCACTTGAAGCACACGTTCTTCCCTTCCGGGATCTCGGACAGCTTCCACCTCGATCTTCGAC